GACCCATTCATTTTGAAATTGAGTGTCAATCATTGAAGTCTAGAATGACAATAAATTGTTTTCCTCAAGAATCATTGGATTCCATCATATTTACCGAGGGACATATCAAGTGATTATGAAATCCAAATGACCAAACCTCTATAACCCACAATTGCCAAAATAGACTGATTCACTAAGGAAGATGTCACCTAATTTTTATGGGAAAATTAGGAAATTCTAACTCCATGTTAATTTATGCCAGCAACCCATCAGCACAAAAAATTTTGACTTAAGAGTTCAGGTATGAAAGGTGAATGTTTGATTGAACACCCCTTTTCGTCCAATCTAAAATATTGACCTCCTCCAATTCCTTTTTAGAGATTTATTTCCTTGTTTAATTCATATACGGATTTTATTCATCTTGTGCCTTTAGACTAAACCTACCAATTATGTGATTCAACAAAATTAGGTCATGATGCTCTACTAGAATGCTTATACACTTGTAAATCTTTTTCTTTCTAACAATTTACGAATTTCATAAAAGTTATGATTTTTTGTGATTTTATTATAATTTAATCATGTAATATGTGGATGACCAATGTTGCAAGTCACTTTTTATAACATAACATAATACCGCACAATAGTTACATATCATGCGTCCTTTCAAGGAGTGCATATTTAATTTAGCTCAAAAGTTAGATTTACTTTCAAACTCAATAATGTGGCAATTTCTTAGAATATATAAGGCAATTCTCTCTCTCTCTCTCTCTCTCTCTCTCTCTCTCTCTCTCTCTCTCTCGTATGATTTTCTAATCATCTACCAATCATTACTTTTACACCTCACTAAGGAGTGGTTTGGGATGATCTAAATAAGTACACTTTTGACTTTTTATGAAATATAGATTGGGTTTGGATTGGGTTTGAAGTGATGTATTAGAGAGGTGATGTGACTTAAATAAGATGATATGACTTAAATAGAATAATGACTTTTTATCTTTTTTAAATCATGCCAAACAAGACCTAAATTTATAAAACAAGTTTACAATTTGATAGAATTATTTTTCGCACATGAATATGGGTTTTTTTTTTTTTTTTTTTTTTTTTTTTTTTTTTTTTTAGCTCTTCTAGAAGTTGACAATGAGTTGTAGACTTCACTATTTTAACATTTCATCTTGATCTTTAAGGTGGCTGTTCAATAGTTCAACAAGAATGACAAATGTTTTGGCGCAACCCAATTGACATTTTGAGTAATTGAAAAAGCGCATGAGCACACTTATGAGTCGATAATAACAATGTAAGATTGTTTATTTTATTCTGTATATTATGATGACATATGCAATTTATGTATTTCACCATATTACATAATTGGAGCACATTATTACGTCAAGTGATACATGCACGTTGCTTAAGTCTGACTTCCTTCAAAGTTGTTAGATTTGGGTCAGACCACTCGTGTTTAATCTAGAATGATCAAAACTCATAATTTTATTGTGTTTTCAATGATATTCCATCGTTTAAGCTTTTAAATTCTTGCTTTTTCTATTTTTGAAATTTTTTCTTTCCGTTATAATTTAAATGCATAGGCCTTACAATTTCAACAAATCAATAACATGTTCTTCATCTTCCCTCTTTTCTCTCTCTATCTCTTACTCCTCCATTTTCTCTCTTTATCTTCCGTCTTCTCTCTACCCTCTTCCCCCATTTTCAGCTTTTTTTTGTGTGTTTTTTCGAAAGAAACAGTTTGGAACCGTTACGTAACGGTGCATAACAAGCCATTACGGCTGTTACGGCGCCGTTATGACCGCTACGGCAGCCGCTACAACCGATACACCTGTGAATCTCAATCACACTGCAAAAGCGGCCGTAATAGGTGGCAGTAACCGCCAAAACCGTTACGTAACGGCGTTACGTAACGGTTGCGGTCGCTTTTTAAAACCTTGCACACGAGTCATGGGTGTCCTAATTTTTCCAAAAGATTAGGTGGCGACTCTGAGTCTGGAGATGTAGTCCATTTCTAACATTTTTTTATGATTAGTGGATTTTCTATAGATTTGCCAAATTTGAACTCTCATTATGTTTCATATTGCAATAGGGGAACCAGATTGAGGATTCTAACTGTTGAGCCTGCTCGAACCCCCTTTCTGGGAGATCCCACAACCCCAAAAGGGTCTTTAATGTTGTAGAAATGGTGGAAAAGTTTGTTTACTGAACAGGTGTATTGATCTTTCCCTTTTGGTGGTCGAAACATGGCTGTTGGGGCTCGAATTGCCTATTAGATATTTTACAATGTATGAGGATCGAGCGAGAAAAGACATTTTCTGAGGTTTTGGTTTGATTCGGTTGCTGTGTATGGTTACCACACCCTTTTTTAGTGCACACTTTTTTACACATTGATTTTGACCCATTCATTTTGAAATTGAGTGTCAATCATTGAAGTCTAGAATGACAATAAATTGTTTTCCTCAAGAATCATTGGATTCCATCATATTTACCGAGGGACATATCAAGTGATTATGAAATCCAAATGACCAAACCTCTATAACCCACAATTGCCAAAATAGACTGATTCACTAAGGAAGATGTCACCTAATTTTTATGGGAAAATTAGGAAATTCTAACTCCATGTTAATTTATGCCAGCAACCCATCAGCACAAAAAATTTTGACTTAAGAGTTCAGGTATGAAAGGTGAATGTTTGATTGAACACCCCTTTTCGTCCAATCTAAAATATTGACCTCCTCCAATTCCTTTTTAGAGATTTATTTCCTTGTTTAATTCATATACGGATTTTATTCATCTTGTGCCTTTAGACTAAACCTACCAATTATGTGATTCAACAAAATTAGGTCATGATGCTCTACTAGAATGCTTATACACTTGTAAATCTTTTTCTTTCTAACAATTTACGAATTTCATAAAAGTTATGATTTTTTGTAATTTTATTATAATTTAATCATGTAATATGTGGATGACCAATGTTGCAAGTCACTTTTTATAACATAACATAATACCGCACAATAGTTACATATCATACGTCCTTTCAAAGAGTGCATATTTAATTTAGCTCAAAAGTTAGATTTACTTTCAAACTCAATAATGTGACAATTTATTAGAATATATAAGGTAATTCTCTCTCTCTCTCTCTCTCTCTTATGATTTTCTAATCATCTACCAATCATTACTTTTATACCTCACTAAGGAGTGGTTTGAGATAATCTAAATAAGTGTACTTTTTGACTTTTTATGAAATATGAATTGGGTTTGGATTGGGTTTGAAGTGATGTATTAGAGAAGTGATGTGATGATATGACTTAAATAGAATAGTGACTTTTTGACTTTTTTAAATCATGCCAAACAAGACCTAAATTTATAAAACAAGTTTACAATTTGATAGAATTATTTTTCGCACATGAATATGGGTTTTTTTTTTTTTTTTTTTTTTTTTTTAAATACTTCATTTAATCTAATGTCTGTTTTTTTTTTTTTTTTTCAGCTCTTCTAGAAGTTGACAATGAGTTGTAGACTTCACTATTTTAATATTTCCATCTTGATCTTTAAGGTGGCTGTTCAATAGTTCAACAAGAATGACAAATGTTTTGGCGCAGCCCAATTGACATTTTGAGTAATTGAAAAAGCGCATAAGCACACTTATGAGTCGATAATAACAATGTAAGATTGCTTATTTTATTCTGTATATTATGATGACATATGCAATTTATGTATTTCACCATATTACATAATTGGAGCACATTATTACGTCAAGTGATACATACACATTGCTTAAGTCTGACTTCCTTCAAAGTTGTTAGATTTGGGTCAGACCACTCGTGTTTAATCTAGAATGATCAAAACTCATAATTTTATTGTGTTTTCAATGATATTCCATCGTTTAAGCTTTTAAATTCTTGCTTTTTCTATTTTTGAAATTTTTTCTTTCCGTTATAATTTAAATTCAGAGATTTCAATTTTATAGTCTCTGGATGTGATCTTAAATTGGGTTTGTCATTTATGATATTTTTTTCACTTATTATTATTATTTTGTATTTGGTTAGGAATATGATGATTATTCATTTCCAAATAATATTTTTCTCGTAAATTAAAGATTGCCAACAAATCCAATATATGTTTGGATGATTATTTAAAAAAATGTTAGGCTTCATAAAAAATACTTCATGAGGATAGTCATGAAAGAATCTCCATCCTTGTATGACACATTATAACTTATTGTATATGTAATTTAAGGATCAAAAATCTTTCATGATCATTTTCGTGAAATATTTTTCATGATTTATCATTTAATATGACATACTTTCAATTAGGAACTAGAGTGTCTCCACTCTACTATCGGATTGGATTGGCTCGTTTGGCCCATTTTGTTCATTTTTGGGTCATGTTTCGATAATTCAAACCGTTCACAATTTAGGATTCGTCAAGTACATCATCTCTACAAAAAAATCAAGTCAATTGGATAATAGAAACCACATGTTCGACTTAATTTTGTATAAACTGTTTATTTTACCGTTGTACATTTTTTTCATATAAAATTGATCTAAATATGTTATTTCCATTATCCGATCAACTTAATTTTTTGCACGAATTATGTACTCGACAAATTCTAAAATGTGAACGATTAGTATTATTAAAATAGAGCTCAAAAGTGGGCCCAATATGCCTAACAGGGCCTCTTAAGTCCGAGTTGGGACTAGAGAGAAGCCAAGCCAAAAGTGGGCTCAATATTATTGTTTGGATTTCATAGTAATTTGATTAATATGCAAAATTTATGATAAAATCACATCAAATACTAAAAGAATGTGATAAAAAGGTATAATAGCATATATTGTTGCAACTCTAATTAGAACTCAAGAAAGAAACTTATGCAGAGGTGGTTCAATACTAGGTCTAAAATTTTTATAATCAGAAACTATTACAAAACAAAGCAAAGACTTTCGAATATCACAAAACAAATCAGAGACTTTTCATCAGAATTAGGGTAATTACTTTGAGCAATGACATAGCAGTTATGAATATAATAATCACACTTACACCAAACATTTCATTTGATTTCCAGTTGTCTAATACACATACTTCAATTCAAATTAAAATTTGGTAGTGTTCCCGAATGAGCAAGTTTCACACATTCTAGGAACAAACAATCATGTTTACAAACCAAAAAAACAAACAAACAAATTGAATCTGAAACATAATAATGGCACGAATGACTCATTTACGCGAAAATCCGAAGCCATTGGCAAGTGCATGAACTGCAGGATTGAAAGACAGCCTCCCCAAAATCCCCTGTTTGTATGGTAAAAAGGTCTTCTTCTTCAAGTCCTCTGAAACTGCTCTGTTCTTTGTGTAATGCAGCTCGTGAGCTGAAACTACTTGTCCTCTTCTCTTGGACCCTTCAATCGATCTGAAGCTCGAGTTCTTCACATCTTCATGTTTCTTGAACAAAGCTGTGTATTTCTTCAGAGGATCTTTATCTGATGCACGTCCTTCTGACGCGCTCCTGAACAAGAAAAAGTCCTTCAATCTCCATTTTCTGTAACCTTTCGATGTTGAAGAAGACAAGGTAGGCTGTTTAGTGCTCTGTTCTTGTTGTTGTTGTTCCTCTTCCCATGGGTACTTGGAAACTCTGTATGGAGACACAGATCTTGTTGCTCTGCGACTCGACGATGATAAAGAAGAAACTCTTTCTCTTCCTCTCTCTTGCTCTTTTCTTTTACTGATTGGCGTTGCAGAGGGGTCGTTTTGTTTGTTTTTTCTTGGTGACAGAGTAGCCCGGATATTAGAAATTGCACTTAATGGTCGGATTTTACCACTATCGAAGAGTTCTTCAGCTGGGATAGTAGTCTTCTCCGATTCCTCACCCACATGAAATGCAAAATCGTCTTCAAATTCAAACCTGGGTGATTTTGGAAATTGTGCAGCTGAAGGAGTAGTGGTTGTTACAGACAAGTCATTGAAATCATGATAAAACTCTGAGAGGCGTCTGGGACTGGTGGGGGCGCTGAAATAGTAGTCCCCGAAACGTTTTGGTGTCGATGGAGCGCTCACGTACGGCGAAGACATGGCACTGTTGAATTCAAAATCCATGGTTGGTATCACCACTTCCATCTCTCTCTCTCTCTCTCTGATTTGTGTCTGATGGTTTCTTTGAATGCTGAAGAAACAAAGACAGGTTGAAGCCTGGCTGAGGTATAGGCTATAAAGAGGGAGAGAGGAAGGAGGAGAGAAGGGTCACAGAGAAAGCCAAATATAATTGACCCATCATCAAGGGAAATTTATGTATGCCAATAGAATATTACGTGCCACTACTTTTTACTAATCACAAATTTATATATTTATTATTATTTTTCAAATACTCAACATAAATATAGTAAATTTTATTATGAAAGCCAATTACAATAGTAGAAGGTACTACATGACATATACCCCGTCCATATACAAAAATTTCTCCATCTTCAAAGTCTGTAAAGAAGCCGCCATCTATTACTTTTTTGTGATGATGTCTTTGAATGCTGTTTTAATTTTATTCTAGTTTTTCAATCACATTTTGTTGTTATTGTTTGTATATAGATATGTGGTGAGGCAGGCACGCACATGTGTATTGAATTTTCTTTGGAGTAGGGCAGGTGGGAAACAAGATAATACTAATATAATATAATTTCGTTATTAACAGTAAAAATGTGTGCGTAATGAATATAATCATCCATGACATTGCCAGCCTTTATGGCCAAGGTTTGATTTGTATTCAGAGTTGAGGTTTGCCGTGCAAGATGTATACACCTCACCTGATGCGCGCCGTAATTAGTTCACAGATTAGGATGGGAATCGCTTGATGTGGATCGCAAGATGCTGTTTTTGAGTCGATAAGACTCATCACGACTTTTATTTTAAATAGCGGTTGGGCACACACGATGTGTGTGCAAATTAAATAAAGATGAATAAAAGAAAATAATAATGAAATTAATATTATAATGTGTACTTAGCTTAAGTGGTATGAGTCTTCATACTTAAATCCATGGTCATGGGACATCATATTATGTGTTCACTTTATAATAGTACTAGCGGTTGGGCACACACGATGTGTGTGCAAATTAAATAAATAGGAATAAAAGAAAATAATAATGAAATTAATATTATAATGTGTACTTAGCTTAAGTGGTATGAGTCTTCATACTTAAACCCATGGTCATGGGTTCAAGCCTTGTCCATCTCTTTGTTTAACTTTTTTTTAAAAAAATAAAAAAGAAGACTGCCACATGGCATGAGGAGAGTAAAGCTTCAGGACGACTTTTATTTTAATAATTTAAATTATTTATTTTATATTTTTTTTATCAGTTATGCTCACGACTTTTATTTTAATAATTTAAATTATTTATTTTATATTTTTTTTATCAGTTATGCTCACGACTTTTATTTTAATAATTTAAATTATTTATTTTATATTTTTTTTATCGGTTATGCTACAGACCCCCAGCTGGGGCACCCCCAGTGACCCCCAGTGGCAGGTGGCACACTGCCATTGGGTGGACTTCAAAAAAAAAAAAAAAAAAAAAAAAAATTTCAGCCTATCAGGGGCGACCCCCAGTGACCCCCACTGGGGGTGTTAGGCATTTTTCTTTTTTTATATATATCATATACATAAAAAAATTAGATCAATTCGATATTCGTAATCTATATAATTTATAGCATTTAACTCTTAAATAAAAAAAAGAAGGAACAAGTGTGTGTTTTAAAGTAGACTATATATTTTTTAGTGAAAAATATAATAAATTATAAGGCCTGGTTTGGCATATCTCAAATAATTCAAAAAGTCAAAGAATTACTAAAAAAGTTAAAAAGTTATCACTATTCACAAAAAAAATAATAATTTTACACACAAATTATTACAACTCAATCTAACGTCCCACAGACTGTTGCTGAGTTTTTTGGAAAAATTACACAGGTGGGGTGCACAAACAACACGGTGTTGTTCGGCCCATGAGAGCCCATCACGTCGTCGAGTACTATATGTCTATAAAAAATCACGTTGATCGGATATCGCTAACTACATGATCAAATCAATTTTGTATAAAAAAAAATGAATGGTGTTATAGTTAACGGTTGAAAAAAAAAACTAATCCAATCAAATAACTATCGATATCCGATCAATATGATTTTTTACAAGCACATAGTACTCGACGAGTTCTACACATTGAATGGTTCAGATTATCAAAACGGGACCCGTGATGGCCCCCACGGGCCGAACAGCACCGTCAAATGCAATACCCGAAAAGTAGGCAACACACTAATTTATACAATTTTGTAGCAAGCATTTTTTCGTAAAAAGACAAAAGGTTAACCCAAACAACCATCTTTTTTTCCTCAACTTTTTAGTCCAAAAAGTCAAAAAGTGCACTTATTTAAGACATCCCAAACAACCCCTTGGGTTTAGAATAGGGACTTATGTGTAGGTCCTAATAAGTGGATTTATTGTCTAACAGGTCTTATAATAATTAATGGCATTTTTCATCAAATTATTAAAAATGTCACTAATTATTAATTTTCAACGACAGTTTGAAAATTTTATCACAAAAAATGTCACTAATCATAAGTTTTGGCGACAATTTAAAAAAATTGTCACAAAAAAAGGTCATTAATTTTTAACTTTCAGCGACAGTTAGAAAAATTCACCACAGAAAAATGTCACTAATTGTAAATTTTAGGGACAATTTATAAAAATTGTGATAAAAAAATATCACTAATTATTAATTTTTAACGACATAGGTAAAAAATTGTCACAAAAATTATTTTTAACGATGATTTTATTAAGACTTGATAGGAATTAAGTCCAATTATTAGGACTTATTAATAGTTTACCCTAGAAAGAAATATTGAATCAATCTAAATTTTTGTATGGATGATATACACGAAGAACTTCACAAAATGAATGATTTTAATTATCAAAACAACATTTGTGGTAAGTCACACAAAGCCGAACAACGCCCTTCAATTTGGGTCATGGACTAGAGGGATCCAGGTCCGATAAAGGTGAAGGCCTCTTTTGGCATTTGACTAAAATAGTCAAAAAGTTACTATAAATTATTAAATTACTCTCTCTATATTTTTTACACGTTTTTTATAAAATATTAAAAAAATAATTAAAATAATCAATTTCCAAACCAGGCCTAATACACAAATCAATTTGGAGCAATGAATCTAGGTCATGGGGTCATTCCTATACCTAAGACATAGGAATAGCATGGCTGGTTGTGCTTTTTGGGGGGCTCTTGGTTTTGGACTCTTTTTTTGGTTTTGTTTTTCTAATTTAAATCGTTTAATTTATAAGATTTTAAAGATGATTAGTTGATAATCCTAGAAAAAGATGATTCATTGTCTAAGGCATAAGAATAGAAAGAAGGGTTGTTTTTAAAGTTGATTTTGAGAAAACTTATGATCGAGTGAATTAGTATTTTTTGAATTTTGTAATGTCTAGAAAGGGTTTTAGAGAGAGGTGGTGTCACGATCACATCCCGTCTTTATAGGATAGTGAGGTGATCGGCCAGTAATTCCTGATTATCAAAAGTCTTGCTTAACAATTCAAATAAGAGACTAATATATATAGGGCTAAGCAGCTGTCACGACCCAAACATGCCCCTATGGGTTTAGTACCGTAACCGGCCAGTAATCCGAAATTACCGATGGCCTGCTTAACAGTCAGACAATAATACAGAGTACAGGGGCATGGCGGAAGCCAAAACAGTAAATAGACAATGCCCAATGAGCTGTGACAGTCTGTATGCGAAAAGACTTATCATTCATGTGCACATATACAATCAGTACCAGGACAGTATGTACAATATATACAATCATTCAGGATAGGGACTTCATCCCTATTAAACAGTACAGTACAAAAACATTCAGTCTGAGCAGTGGTTACATAACAGATACAAAAATGGGGAAAACTAAAACACCCCAAAAGCCCTGGCTTGACAGGCTCAGATCTTCGTAGTGAGGCACAGTGGTTGGCTTAACAAAACTGGAGTTTACCCCGACACTTCTAGCAACGGTCCGGTGCCTGTACACCTACATATATATATGAGCAGTGAGCTAAAACCCAATGAATAACATAATGGGTAAAGAGGTTAAAAATGAATGTCCTTACAGTAATGAAAACAGTTCATTAACTCAGTATTTCAGTCATTCAGTCATAACAGTCATATGTGGTACATCCATTAGCATAGCAGTACAGTAAACAGTAAGTCTTAAAATACCGAACAGTCAGTAATAGCCATCATATCAGTAAATAGTAGTGGTTCCAACATGAGAACCGACAGAGATCTCTGTGACAGTAACAGTAACAGTTCAGTAACAGTATATTGCCATGGATGCCACAATACAGTTCAGAATAGAGGACAAACATTCATTCAGTTAACAGTATCAATTCAAAAACAGTACAGTTTAACCATTCAAAAGATATTCATATTTGAACGTATCTTTACACAGTTGTTACTCACAGAGTTCTGGGCTACAGTTAAGCTAGAGCGCATCCTCAGATGCCAACCCTACATAGTTACAGATTGAACACATACTAAGCTACACAGTTGGGAAAATAAGAACTTAATCCCTAACTCGACTCGGTGTGGTCCTACATCAATATCCTCATTAAGATGCCTTAAACTAGGCCTAGGAATGCCTAGGATGGAATGAGGATGCAAAGATGCACTTTAAAAACATTTTCAGAAAACAGAGGTCCCGCTCGAGCGTAGGTTACTCTGCTTGAGCGGACATGCAGACAAAGGTTTTCGCTCGAACATATAATTACCCGCTTGAGCATACTGTAAAACAGTCAAAAGTGTTGGATAGGTGAAATTCACGCTCAATTGGGCGCTCGACACCCACTCGAGTGTAAGACACAATGTCCCGCTCGAGCGTAAATTACCCCGCTCGAGCGGACTTCAAAACACAACAAAATGCTAGGAGCACGATTTTCACGCTCGAGCGCCAGTCACCCCGCTCGAGCGTGAGTTCAAAATCTGGAATTTCCAGATTTGAACTTCAAGCTCAAAACCAAGTTTCAATGTACCAAATTCGATCCTCTTGGGTTAATTTTCTGGAAAACACTTCAAAACCCATAATGTTACATGTTTCAAAGATCAATTTAGGAAATCAAAGCCCAAGGGTAGTTCAATTAAATCCAATTTCAAACCAATTTCATGAACATGACTTCAAATGGACATGCATAACTTTAAACAACTTTCAAGCCTCAAATTCATGTTCTATTGAGCCAATTCTTTCAAAAACAAGATGAAATCATGAACTTTAACATAAACATGAACATGCATGCAAGATTTCCATGGAATCAAACCTCCAAACT